GGGTGGCTGGCTGCAGCCTGTCCCTCCCGAGAGGAACTGGGACAGCTCATCTGGAGGAGGGGCAGCAGTGTCTGACCGCCAGGCTGCCCCGGACACCGTGGCCAGGACGCTCAGCTGCGCAGGGCAGCCCCAGGCCTGGGCGACTGGTCAGCGGGGTCTGAGGAGGGTCCACTCAGACCTTCGCCCGTTTTTAAGTTGGGGGATTTGCTTTTTCTTGTTCGGTGGGAAGCCTGCCCTGGGGGGGGACCTGCGATGTCCCCAAGGCTCGTGTGTCCAGGGCGCGGGCCCCGCTGGCTGCAGTCTGGGGGACAGTGGACCCTTCAGAGGCGGAGCCTGGTGGGAGGCATTTAGGTCACTGGGGCGTGTCCCCAAAGGGACCTCGGCCTCCCTCTCTCCTTCCTGGCCATGACGACAGCATTCTGCTCCTTGACCTGCTCCTGCCGCGGTGACCCGCCTCACCCCAGACCCAGAGTGAGGCCACCAGCCACCAGACCCCCAAAACCATGAAAAAAAATGGCCCTTTTTTCCTTCTTAACCATTAGATCATGGCTGTTCGCTTTGTTATGATTATTGGTTCTTTGGACATAACATTAGGAATCATTTTACATAATTATAAAAGCACAGAATATAATTTGCTCCACTTCAGATCCCAGTCCTTCCCCTTTCTCTCCCCTTCTCCCTCCCTCCCTTTTTTCTTTATAAAGTTGCCTCTGTCGGGTGTTTGTCACAGTGCAGAAAGCTGACCAGCGCAGCATTCTCTACAGGTTCTAGATCCACGTTCCTTGTCAGATGTATGGTTTGTAGACATTTTCTTTGCCCTGAAGGTCGTCTTGGCTTTCTCAATGGCCTCCTTTGGAGCATAAATGCTTTTGTTTTTGATGGATTTCCATGTGCCTATTGTTTTTTATTTTTGGTGTTCTTTGTAAAAATGAAACGGTCTTATCTAAGGTGGTGAAGTTTTTTCTCCTAGATTTTATTCTAGGACTTCTATAGTTTTAGCTCTACATTGAGATCTTTCTTTTTAAATTTTTTTTATTTTCATGTGGTGCTGAGGACTGAACCCAGGGCCTCGAACGTGCCAGGCAAGCGCTCTACCACTGAGCCCCAGCCCCTAGGTCTTTGATCTACTTGATTCTTGCGTG